TCTTCTTCTTCTTCTTCTTTTTTTTTGGTGGGGGTAGATACTTAGGTTTATCTATTTTTTTATTTCTTCTGGTGGAGGTACTGGGGATTGAACCCAGGACCTACCATGCAGAAGGTCCTGGGTTCAATCCCCAGTACTCTCCCCCAAATTCAACCTTCTTAATCTGGTTTAGGATCCTCTACTAGAGGTTAGCAAAGGTTTATGAAACAATCAATAGTATGAAAACTGATGCACAGTATTTTGCTTTTAAAGACACTTTATATGAAAACACTTCAAGAAAGAAGTCACTGCATTACAAGTTATTGCATTAGAAAAAAAGGAAATGTTGAAGTTACTTTCAATTAGAAATGTAGAATGGGTAAACATGTACACACAGTGAAAACTTATCCATTAAAGATGTAGGACTGGGTCTAATATCAGCTATAAAATGAAAAGAGTATCTGTATTAGGCTGATGTTCATTGTCTTAATCTAGTAGAGCATATGCTTTACTGTCAAACTTAGACTAAAGTAAAAATAAAAATGTAATCGTTTTTACTGTGTTAGCAATAACCAGTTAGAAGTTCTCATGGAAAAAAAATCATTCACAAAAGTAGTGACAACAATTTCAGCAGCAACAAGAACATGAAAGTGAGCTGCCTGAAAATAATCCTGACAAGAGATGTGTGGGATCTACATGAGAAACATCAACAGCATCAATAAGAAAAACATCAATTTCCCCGTTGGAAATTGTGGCGAATGACTAGCAAGAGACCATTTATAAAAAGGGATATACAGATGATTAATACATATGATCTTTGTCACTTTTAACCAAAGATTTGAAAAATAAACTAACAATGAGATTTCATCTTAATCCTCAATTGGCAGGATTTAAAAAGTCGTATTTTTCCATGCTTCCTGAGGTACACTAACATGGGCATGCTCATGTAGTGCTGATGGGAGTACATATTCATAAAAGTCACTTTAAATTTGATCAGTGTATTTAGTGCTTTAAAATATTCATATGCTTTTTACCAGTAATCTCACATCTAGAAATTTATCCTAAAAATGATCAGAGATGCTGATAAAGATTTGTGTGTAAAGGTGTTTACTGCAGTATTATTTATAATCCTGAAAAGCCTGAAATAAGTTATATGTGCAGTGATAGGAAGTGGTTAAATAAATTATAGGCCATCGCTATAGCTGAATCTTTTATAGCCAGTAAACTTTTTTTGAAGAATATTTAATAATATGGGAAGTTATTTATGACATGGTGGGTTAAGTGAAAAAACTGCAGGTTACAAAATTGTATATCAGTTTGCTAGGGCTGCCATAACAATATCACAGACTGGGTGGCTCAAACAATAGAAATTTATTTCTCGAAGATCTGGAGGCTGGAAGTCCAAGATCAAGGTGTCAATAGGTTTGTTTGGTTTCTTCTGAGGCCTCTGTCCTTGGCTTGCAGATGGTTGCCTTTCTCCTGTGTCCTCACATGACCTTTCCCTGGCATCTCTCTCTCTCTCTGTGTCCTAATCTACTCTTCTTATAAGTCCTCCAGTCAGATTGGATAAGGGCCCACTCTAATGCCTTCATTAACTCCTTTTTTTATAGGCCCTATCTCCAAATACAGTCACACTCTAAGGTACTGGGGATTAGGGCTTCAGGATGAATATTTTAAGAGGGGACACAATTCAGTCTACAACATTGTGATTCTGATTTTATTTAAAAATGCAGAGAAAAAAAGACTAGAAGGAAATGTAGTAGATTTGTGGCTTTGTCAGGAATCCTGAAGATTCATAATATATGGTAATTGGTAAATAACTTTGCTCATGTACAAATCTAAGTCACAAGGACTTTTTTGGAGGGGAGGGGGGTGTTAATTTTGTTTTTATTGTGCCTGACAAAATACAGTTATCCAATTCTTCCTCAATTATGTTATTTTAATAAAATAAATTAAATGTAGGTTTAATGGCTGTTTCCTTCTTTTAAAGTAATACTGAGCCCACAGGTTGAACTCCAATTGTTCATCCCATCTGGAGCAGAACTCAAGAGCCCAGAACCTCTGCTAGGAACAAGGGTGTTTGAAGATGGCCTATGGTAAAGTCTACCAGGCATCCTCATCTCATTAGGTTTCTTTGTTTCATTCCTCATCTTATACGTAGCAATTTTTACTGAAAGTTAAAAGACTCATGTATTTTTTTGGTGATACATATACCATGTTTTATAGGGGAAATATGCAACAACTGTAGTTACAAAATTGATGCTCTATCTTCCATATATATATATATATATAATTATATATATATAATTAAAAACTATTAAGGGTTATGAAGTTATTTCAGTGGTACAGTAATAAACTTTAAATTTTTATTGTTTTTATGTAATTTTTATACATATAAAATATATTAAAATTTTATTTAAAAATTTGTTTTTATGTATAATATAGTATCTGCTGTAATAAGTATTAATGTTATAATTTAACAAATTCATGTTGTTTAAGAAATATTGAATATTTTCCACCTGAAAATATAGGACCAACTTGATGTGCTCAATTTCATGCTTTGTGCTTTGTGATTCTCAAAATTTTTTTGCATTCGATTCAATTTGGTTCAACAAATACTTGTTGTGTACCTACACTATGCATGGTACTATGGTTCAGCTCTATGAGACATCATCTGACCTGTCTGAAAGTTCTTACTCTAATTAAGGAGATTGAAAACCACTCTACTGACTGAGAAAACTGTTATAAATAACATGGAAGTCTGGAGGAAAATTAATAAAGGTGACTTCATTTTAGAGTTAAGCCCTGAAGATAGAGTAAGAATTCACCATTCAGAAAAGGGGAAAGGAGGATAGGCAAGAGTGTATTTATTCCTCCCTTATTTATGTACTTGATTATTTACTTAGATCACTATTGACTCATGGATATTTATGTTACAATTTGTGTTATAATCTGTATATTTTTTTGGATGTGTTTTTGCTCAATAAAACATTGTGGACAATTTTCAATGTTCACAGAGGTGAACAACATAACTTTTAGTAGTTATATAGTACATATTTAATCAGTTCTCTACTGATGCACATTTTTGCTTCCACTTTTTCTTTATTTCCAACAATGCTGGAATAACATCCTTGCACATTTATTTTTGTGCACATGTGTGACTATTTCTTAGTTTACCATTGAAACCTCATCTCTAAGACGTATTATACTTGAGCTTTGTTCCTTGTACCTCAAGCACATCCTGCTTTCCCTTAGCTAACACTGTTTTCTCCACCTAGAATGCTCTTCCCTTATCTTTGCTCACTGAAGTTGCCTGTATGATTCAGGGCTCGGCTCAAAGGCTATTTGCTATAGAACCTCTTCTCTAGTGTTTTGAAGAGAATTTAATGGTTTTATCCCACTTCTCTTTGTTGTACATGTATTATAACACATCATCTGAGCCTCCTGTTTTAGACCAGGACTTCTTCCTACTAGTTTTTGAACAGGTAGAAGCAGAAATGAGATC